ACCAAATTACTTATAGACCTTTTATATATGAATTGAAATGGTATTTATTAGACTATAAAATACTGCAAACCATTTTGCCGTAACTTTTGTTGTTCCCAAGAAATCGCCTCCCGAAGTGACCTACCTTCGGAAACACTTTGGCACTTTCACCAGACGGGAATTAATTTTTGATAAAATTATGTGAAAATAAGAATTGGATTATAAAGATTATGTAAAGAAAACACATAATTGGCATAATTTGCGGCCCCTGAACGTGTAATTTGTCATATTTATCAAGATTCATAAATCGAATATTTTACTTCACATTGAATAGCATTGCCAAAGTGTTTCCGAAGGTAGGTCACTTCGGGAGGCGATTTCTCGGGAACAACAAAAGTTACGGCAAAATGGTTTGCAGTATTTTATAGTCTAATAAATACCATTTCAATTCATATATAAATGGTCTATAAGTAATTTGGCTAAAATTTTTAATTTACATTAACCATTCGTTATCCATTTCTCTGATCAAACGTTACAATCTTAATCATTTTGTACAAACAAGTAATAATTCATGGTTGTTTTTCTTAAAAATAAAATAATATAATTGAAAAGTTGAGATTAGTATTTATTCTGGGAATTCCTGCACTAATTCCAGAATAATTACAAATATAATAATACTTATGTTTTACCTTATGATTATAATCAATTAATATTGATTTATACACAATACATTTATTATTAATAATTTATTACTTCTAGGAACCACTAGAAATGCTTATGTCACCACTTGTCATAATAATTTAAACAAGTTTAAGCATATTGGTTAAAATCAATGTCACGAGCTTAATCGGATTATAATATTCTGTATTGTATAAATACATTATGTTATTGTATTGTATAAATAGTGTTACTTTACGTATCTGAACATCACAATTATAATTATAACCAACAATAAATGATTATCTATACAACACTATTTTCCATAAGTCTTATATACGGATGTTTGGGATGCAGTTGTCCGGAGCCCGACATTCAGGAGTCGTTCAACAGCTCAGACTTTATGGTGAAAGCGATTGTTAAACGCCAGCAATACTCGTGTCCACAGATGTATGTGAAACAACACTCAGATATATTGCGACAATATATGGTGTCCGTACGCCAGGTGTACAAAACATCGGGCGCTAATGTTACTCAAACCCTTCAATCGGGTAATATATACTCAATCATGTCTGGGGCCGAGTGTGGGGTCAGTTATCTAAGCACTGGCACTGAGTATATACTAAGTGGGAGTTATGACAATGGTAAATTGTGGATCCATTCGTGTGGTTTCTTGATGGAGACCAACCATCTCACAAAGAATGATGCTAATATATTAGCAACCATTTCAACCACTAAGTCGCCGGTCACCTGGACTCCGCTCCCCAAATGACCATGGTTAACTATTAATAAAATTATCATATTTACCTATAATTAAAACCATAATTTAATTTTGAATTTCACTAAATCTAAATTGTAATTATTTGTTTATATAAAAAATTTGATTAATTATTATGTATGTTATTTGAATCATAATAGTCCTTGTTGATTTTAAATGTCATATATTTACAACTAAAATAAATGTACCCTTCTTTGCATTTAAAATTATTGTTATATAATATACGGACAAAACGAAAGTGTTGTTTAAGGGTCAGAAGGTTAATGTCGAATACCTCAATATTTATGAATTCTATTTAAAATTTGATTTGATACTCGAAATTATCATTAAATTGATTTTACATTATTAAATTGTATTTTTGTATTAGTTACAAATTTCATGAATTGTACAATTAATGTAAATTTTATTATTAGTTTATAATAAATTGTTTGGACAATGTATTTTAAGCAAAAAGGAGAGAGAGAGAGAGAGAGAGAGAGAGAGAGAGAGAGAGAG